CGGCCCAGCTTCAAGTTCACGGCCATCCCGGCCCGCGCCGGCCTCCCGCTCTCCGAGCGCGCGCAGCGAAGCAGCGGCGGGTCTTCCGGGGGCCCGAGAGCGCGGCCGAAGCGGGGTCCCCGGGAAACAGTCCCTGGGGGCTGGAGGCACGAGGAAGCGTGAAGTTAATTTAAGCAAGTTTGCCTAAGAAGAGACCCCACTTTATGAAGAGTTGTTGACTCTCGGACACCCCGCCCCGAAATCTGATCCTGTCCCCTAAGAATTAGCCCCGAGGCTCTCCGGCCTCCGGGGCTTGGGGTCTGCCGCGGGCGTTTGGACCTCTGGGGCCAGAGTTTGCAGACTGGAGCCCCGGCGCGGCTAGAGGGGTGAACGCGTCGCGAAAGTGTAGGTGCCCGGGGCCTGCAGTTCCCTGGGGGGCAGTCCCTGGGGGGTAGTCCCTGGGGGACTCCGAAGTCCCTTAAGGGTTCGGCTCACCAGCAGAGCCCAGGGAGGTGAAGGAGCTCTGGATTCTGCCTGCGTCGGGCGGGCGCGCTAGCCTGCATCTCCGGTGATTAGACTGAAGTGTTTGTGAGGGCGAATTAGGGAAGCGGGTGTCTTGCTCTTTAGTTGTGACATCTGTAGGAAGAGGAGTGAGTTCCTGCAGGAATGATGAAGCTTTTTTTCTTCTATCATTTTAAAACTAGCTCCTTGTAAATATGTATGACTGACTTGTAAATACAAGTGATTTCCCTTTGCTTGTGCGCTCTCAGTCAGACACTGCTGGAGACATGGTTGACTCAGTCTCCAGCTGAACACCCCTCGCCGCCTGCCTCCTCCTCACCTCTCCTGGCTTTACCCCAGTGACTGCCTGCGCTGGGTGGATTCCCCACCCCGGGCTCGCTGAGCCTGCTTATTGGTCTGGAATGGGAGGGAAGTGCAGACCTTGCGAATGAAATTTAGGAACTTTCCTAGCTGACACTGCCTTGGTATCCAAGTGCCTTAGTCAACAGGACTTTGTGAATTTTATTTCATGGAGAAATTCATTTTTGTTGGGTTCTGTTGCAGTCCACGTATTGAAAAATTAGAAAAATGAAAGTGCTTCACTTAAAAAAAAAAAAAAAGGTTGATAAGCCCTGAATTCTTTGGTATGCCCTCATGACCTTTCTTTCCATCATGACCTCACCCGGGGCTCAACCACATTATCCTCAACTACATTATCACTTGAAGAATATAATCTTATGGTGAATATCAATTGAATAGTTCTGGTCTAATAGTTCAGCTACCGATCTAATTGCTTTGCATACATTTTTTTGCCAGTTTTCCACAAGGTAGATACTGTTATTATATTTAACAGGCATCTCAGAAGAACTCCAGATATCCACCCCCTTCAAACCTGTTCCTCTTCAATATGTGCCACCCAGCCAAAAATGTAGAAGTCATTCTTGTTTTGTCTCTTCTTTTTTAACCCCCACAGCCAATTAATTTGCAAGTCATTTTGCCTCCACTTCCAAAAAGCACCCCCTCTGCATCCCTTTTCTCCCTCTCCTTTGCTGTTGCTTGGGCCCCAGCTTCTATCATCTCTCACCTACATTACTACCAAAGTCTCTAGTTGGTCTCTGGAACCAAAACAACACAACACTTTGTCCAAACAACAGCTGACTGATCTTTTCAAAACATACCCAGATCCTGTCATGCTCCTGCTTAAAACTCCCCAGTGAGTTTTCATGGCACTTGAAATACCTCATAGCCGCCTCAAAGGCTTTATGTAATCCATTCCCAGCTTATGCTCTTACTCTGTGCTCCCACAGACCTCGGCTTTATGTGCTGTAGCCACCTCAGCCTGTTTGCTTAAGCACCTCCTCACAGGACTTGCTGTTCTTCCCGTTATCCTCTTCCCCAGCTCATGACTTAGCAGACTCCTCGACATCAGACAGCACCTGTTCAGCTGCAACTGGCCACCAGCCTGTCTCGAAGGGCAGGACTTAACGCGCCCCAGCTTGGGAGCACCTTGCTTGCTTTTCTTCCAAAGACTTCACTGACCAAACCAGCTTGCATTTGTATGCCAGTTCATTATCTCCTCATCCCCCTCTAGAATAAAGTATCTCAAGAGCTTTGCCTGGGTTTCACTGTGTCATTCCCAGTGCCCAGACCAAGTGTTAGCACGCAGTACCTACCCCGCACTTAGTGGACGGATGCATGATGGAATGGATGGACACACCAGGAAAAGATTGCTTATTTGTCAGGTGCTGCTGCTTGAATCCTAATTGCTGCCTGGCAGAATCAGTTGTTTCCGACAAGGGCCTGGATGGGCCCCATGCTTCCACTGCCCACCCTGTCAAAGGTGGCTCCATGCACAAGCACACACATGTAACCACATGCCAAAGGCATGTTCTGAGAACCTCTCTTCAGATAATCAGAGAGGAAAAAGCAGAGACTCTCACGTCCACAAACTGCCCTACATTGGAATAATAACTGGCCACCTCTGCCTCATATCATCCTGTCTCTTCTGCTGAAGTCAGTGGAAACTTATGGTGACTCTCTTTCAGAGGTGGGGTCTGTTGTGTAACCATGCATGCATTGGCCAGAAACATCCACGTAGGGTTCCAGGAAGTGGACATGTTGCTATGGTTTGAGTGCACCACCAGTTGGGTGGTGCTGCCCACAGCTGCGGCGGCCTTCACCTGGCAGCATCCGATCACCTGCCACCTGTGCACATGTCTGGTTCGAGGAAATATTGGCAGCGCCACCAGCATCAGATGCCTAGGCCCATCAATCAATTCAGTAAACTTTATTCAAGCCTGCAGGAGGTCTGGTATCGTCTTCCAGGGTTTCTTTATTTTTTAAAACAAGGTAGATGTTATATAAAGTCATATATTCTCAAGAATAGATTTTAGTTCATTTTGGTCATGGGGATGCCTTTTCTTTATACAGAATTTCAGAGCTCATGGGGCTTATCGTCATTAAGCAGCTGTGTAGTAACTCCAAAAAGCAGCCTTTGATCACAAGCATTTCTATGCCATTGTGAATGTCATTTAAAAAAAAAAAGAGAGAGAGAGAATCTGGGTACACAGCCGATTTTGGTATCATGTCCTCAGATTGAGGCAGACGGGACTGGCAGGCAAGCTCTTTGCAGGCTGAAGAAATTGGAAAAGGAGACAGCATCAAAATATTTACAGTACATTTATCCTTAATTGGAGGTATTTGTCACCATCAGGAGACTGGGAATCGACCTCAGTTTTTGGTAGTGTTGCCAGGTTCTTCCAGAAAGAAATCATGTCAGTTCTTTGCATTTTGTTCTCCTTCCCTAAAAGCTCACTTATTTAAAAGCAACTCCTTCACCTTTGGAAAGCAGAGGAAAAAGAAAGACATTTGCTTGAATCTAGGAAAGCCTACTGCTCCATCCGGGCAAATTTTCCCAGAGTAGGGCAGGGAAGAATAATTACAATATGACTTGTTTTCTTAACTTTGAGTCAACAGAGCCTTTCAAGTTTCCTCAACTGGTTTTAATCAAACCCCAGAGAGAGGCTCTTCTTAGTGAACTTATTTAGGTAGAAAATACTTGTGTTTCTTCATCAATACTTGAAGGAGATGAGAGAGAAGAAAAAATCTTCCTCCAAAAATATAGAAAATGAGATATAATTAGAGTCAAAATTTATGTGTGCTTTATTATAAGTCACTCCTTGTTAATATCCCCTTAGCAGTTTAGCTTATCAGCATTGAACCTAAGAGTCACAACATTATTTTACAGAATAGCATTAGTGATTTTTGATCTCAAGATAATTGAATGATGGTTACAGAGTTGTTTTTGAGTCACCCTAAGTACTTTATAAAAGCATTCACTAGACTCTGCATTTTCACATTCTCCTTGGTTCAACAGATCTTTCATACAAAGTTGAACAAAATCCCTGTTCCTCTGTGGAAAAATAACAAATGTATATCTCACCTGGGGAACATGATGGGACTCAGTTATGACAGTCAGATTCTTTGTGAATAGAGAAAAAAGACCCTGATTTAATGGTCCATGTTTATCATCTAGCGATTTTGGAAGTTGCCTCCGTGATGGATGCTGGCTTGTGGAATAGGCTTCTGCTTTATCAAACATCCCTCAGGGCTCAGTGGAAAAGAGCATGGAAAGAGGCCAAGCTTTGACTTCAGGATAGTTTCTCATGTCTTTCTGTCTTAGCTCAAGACAGAGCAAGTTCTGAGATGAGTGAAGTGAGCACAGATCTCTCTGTATCTGTGTGTGGAGAGGGAATGTTTACTTGTTGATCTGTAAGGACCATATGGCTCATTTTTGAGTTCCATGTTGAAATATACTTGGGTGGCCAATCAGAAGACTTATATATCCATATTGCAAAAGATTTGTTGAAGGCTCCCTGCTTCTTGATTTTCTGTGAACTAGTTTTTCAAGCCGGTGGTTGTAAACAAAGATGCTTTACAGTGTCACCTACCTCTTCTTATTTGAATAGTTGTAGAATTTGATTGAGACTGTATGACTATTAAGTTTAGCTCATCCTTTTAGCTCTTTCAAGAATGCTGAAGTTTTGGAAATAATCTGGACTGGCACTATGGGGAAGAGAAATATGATGGAAATCTTTGTTTCCTTGAGAACTTAGAAGCCAAGTGACATGGGCTTTACACACGTGAAGTCACCAGAAG